ATAGTGTTATATATCCATTATATCTCAATAAAACTGGAAAAAATATTTTAAAAATTGTGATTATATGTAAAACAGAGTTAGAGTCTAGGATCAGATCACTATAAATGAGTTTTTCATTTAAATTGGGTTTCTAGTGAGACTTCGGAAATCCCAATTATGTAGGTCAGATTATTTAGCGTCCTAGGCCCTAAGATTTCCAAAGTGCCTCCCAGAAAGTGGGGCTGCCACTTTTCCCAGTTAAAATCAGTTCTTTTGGAGAAGAGAAAGGGAAAGTACATCTTTGAAGGCAAAGAGCAGTAACTGCCTCAGACCTCTCCCATTGTTGATCTTCACCATCTTTCTCTAGGATTTCCCAGCATTCCAAATTCTCCTCTGTATGATGAAGTCTTCGTGCCATTTAATGACCAAATGAAATTTATACTAGGAGGCATAAAGTGTATTGTATTTAAGTAACTGTTTTACTCAGTTACAAGGAGTTTGGTTTTCTTGATCTTCCGTGATCTTCTTTGGCACTTTCTTCCTTTTGCATGTATTTCCACATTTCCTCACCAGGTGGCACTGAAGGCCTTGTTGTGGGTTGTCAATGGCTGTACAGAGGCTCAGCTTTGTTTCTTTCGTGCTTCTGCCTCTCACGCCTAATACTATTCAATAGCAGAAGGTGTCCTCAGTTAACCTGGGGAGCAGGTAGGGTTGGGGAGAGGGAGGGCCTTTCTATTCTCTGGCATTCAGTATTGGTATTAACTAAAATACAAGAAAACTCCACCTACCTTTCTCCATTTAGGTGTGAATAGCTTTAATTTATAATTTATAATTAATGATAAAAGGTGAAGTCATTAAATGGTGTAATCATATCCTTATGAATATTTTAGGATGTTTTTGTTCCCTGAAATGTTTTAGCCATTCTCTTGGCAAATATTGGTTACACAATTCATACAGTGTTATAGTGCATCTAAATTTAGCCTTACTAGAAACAAATTTTCTTTATTTTATTTTATTTATTTATTTATTTATTTTTTTTTCCCACATCTTTATTGTTGGATGTAAAATGTATTACAGATGTTCCACATTTTTCCCCCATTGACCCCCTCCTCCCCACTCCCGCCCCCCTCCCACCTTTTCCCAAACTATTGTCCATGTCCATTGGTTATGCATATAAGTTCTTTGGTTTATTTCTTCCCACCCCCCCAACCCCTTTCCCTTTGAGGTTTGTCAGTCTAGCAATGAATTTGTGCTTCTTAATCCCTTCACCTTTTTCATCCATTCCCCCAACCCCCTTCCCAACTGGCAACCAACAAAATGTTCTCTGTATCTATGAGAATGTTCCTGTTCTTCCTGTTCATTTTGTTTGTAGATTCCATTGTTGATAGATATGTATTCATTGCCATTTTGTTTGTTCATACATTTTATCTTTATCTTTAAAAAGACCCTTCATCATTTCATATAATAACGGTTTGGTAGTGATGAACTCCTTTAACTTTTTCTTGTCTGGGAAAGTTTTTATATGTCCATCGATTCTAAAGTTGTCCCAGAGGCTCCTTACACTATCCTCATTTTTTTGGATTCTTTTTTCTTTTTGCTGTTCTGGTTGGGCGTTTTTTGCTTCCTTATATTCCAAATCAATGGTTTGCTCCTTGGATTTACGTACTCTATTATTGAAGCTATGTAAATTATTCTTTATTTCAGTTAAAGCCTCCTTCGTTTCTAACTGTGCAGCGATCATTTCTGACTGGTACTTTTTTATGCTCTTGAGGCCCTCACTGAGTTCATTGAGCATCCCTATAAGCAGTATTTTGAACTCAGCATCTGTTAGGTTGCTTATCTCCATTTCACTTAGTTCTTTTCTTGGAGTTTTGTTCTGTTCTTTCATTTGGGACCTGTTTCTTTGTCTCCTCATTTTGGCTGCCTCCCTGTGTTTGTTTCTGTGTATTACTTAATGAGAGGTATGGGGCTCGCTGAGACCCGATGCTGCTCGTTTGAAAGAATTTAGGAAAAACCTGAAGCAGGATCCAAGACAGGCCAATCCTATGGTTAAGCAAGTAGCAACAGCTTGGGTGGGCTTGAAAGTTGTGTGGGGCGGGGCGGGGCGGGGCCTCAGGGAGTCAGCAGGGCGGGGCTACCAGTGTGAGCCAGGTTGCTGGAGTCCCAGATATGGCGACTGTCTGCCGCCCCAGGGAAGGGCTCACCAACGGAACAAAGGCCTCTTATAGCAAATTTGTCCCCGAGAAAGCCCCCTCTCCAGCCCTCGCTCCAGTGCCAAACAGCTCAGTTCTTCCCTGTATTTCTCTGGTGCCCCTCGAGCTGCCTCCCCTCCGAGCTTAGAGGGAGAGAGTCCGATAAGTCCATGTGTGGGCCCTTTAGGGAGCTGCCTGGGGCTCCAGCCAGGTCAGCTTCCCTGAGCCTCAGTTTCTGCTGGTTTTTCCAGCCAGAAGTTATGGGGACTTCTCTTCCTGGCACTGGAAACCTGAGCGGGGCACCTGGTGTGGGACGGGGACCCCTCAGTCCTCAGGAAGGACCTTCCCAGCCGCGGGAGCCTCCTGATTTTTATCTGCCACACTTGGGTGTGGGACCAGCCCGTCGTGCCTCCGCCACCCCTCGCGCCGCCGCCCCTCCTACCGGTCTGGATGTAGCTGCTTTTTTTTTTTTTTTAATTCCGTAGTTGTAGGACTTCCATTCAGCTTGATTTCAGGCGGTTTTGGATGATGGTTGTTCTGTAGTTTTGTTGTAACTTGGATGTGGTTGTGGAAGAACGCGATACTGCGTTTCCCTACGCCGCCATCTTGACCAGAAGTGAAACAAATTTTCTTAATTTCATTTTCTCTGGAACTTCCTATGGTTGTGAACCTGCAAAGAGGAAGAATATTAGACAAAAGCTGGTAGTATCCTGATTTAAGTTGTTTTCGGTCAACATAAAGCGGTAACTCAATCTCCTTGTCAACCCTTGGTGTCTTTGTGTAAACTTGAAAATAAGCATACAGGCCTGGCAGGGCTGGCTCACTGGTTGAGCATCAACCCATGCACTTGGAGGTCGCCAGTTCAGTTCTGGGTCAGGGCACATGCCCAGCTTGTGGGCCTGATCCCCAGTGCAGGGCATGCAGGAGGCTGCCAGCTGATGTTCTCTCTCATCGATGTTTCCATTTCTCTCTCCCTCTCCCTTCCTCTCTTTCTAAAATCAATAAAGAAAAAAAAAATTTAAAGAAGCATACAGGATTAATAAAGAGGGATTTCGTGGAGAAGAATGACTAGTCATCCAGACAAATCTCACATTGACAATACTCTCAAGAGACTGTGTGACCACAATGAGGGCTGACTCTTTACATGATACAGTCACATTTACTCAATAGCACATTCTCTCCCTCAAGACACATTTAAATGGAATGTTAGAGTGTAAGCAGAAGATGCTTATCAGGCCCAGATTCAGAGCAGCAGAAGGGATTGATGTAATGTGGTGCCATCATATAGATGCTCACCTTCGCTTCTCTGAGTCTCTCTCTTCCTGTAATTCCTTCGTTGATTCCATACCCACATTAATCACAGTGTTCACTAACCACACCTGCACTGACACCTCTTTCTTAAATATGTGAAATAGATGCAATGATTTGTAGTAGTTGGCTTCCCTTAGGAGCCATTATTCCTCTTAACGTAGTCCCCCTCCAGGGGCGTGGCCTGGCAGGTGCTCACAGTGCTTCAGCTCACACCCCTGTGGCTGGGCACAGGTTTCCCAGTTGTCTCAGTTCTCGGCGCCTTAGTATCTCAGTACTTTTACGGACCTTCTTGGCCAAAAGCAACACCAAACAGCTAAAACAACTTAACAAGTGTGCAAGTCCTAACAATTTAGTAGCTGTTTGAAAAAAATAAATATACATAAATGGAAAGAAAATAATGCTACGAATTTTATTCTTAGATAATTAACAGTGATTTCAAACCTTGGAATCAGACTACACATCTCCACCGTCCCTTCCTGTTCTACACTCATTTTCATACTGCACTTGCTTTTATCCCAGAAGCCACCCCAAACCCACCTTCACAAAGATAACAAATGCCATTCAAAAGAATATTGTGTGAATTAATGTTGGAATTATGAACCACCTGAAGCCAGTAGCATGCCTGGCATGTGACGGATGTCAGCTATTGCTTTTTCCCTAAAAAATGTAAAGTATTCATGGTGCTTCTGTGGGTTCACTGTGGTTCCCTGGGTACCTGGCACACAGTTTAGGAAGCAAGAAGCTAGAATTTAGTCACGTGGCTACATCTAGCTGCACGGAGATTGGGAAATACAATCTATCCAATTTAACCTGGTGGCCGCTGCTTCAATGAATTAAATATTTAAATATTAATTTTGCATTTTTATTCTCACAGGGATGTCGTATATGCCTGTTTATAACATATCACAGGGCAGCTTATTATGCCTCCTTGTAATAATAGTAACCATAGTAACGGTCACCATTTATTGAATACTTTTATGTAATAAGCACTCTGCTAAGGAGCTTTTTATATATGATTTCACTTAATTCTCACAATACCTATTGAGGTAGATACAAGTTTTATTCCTAATATGAATATATATTTAGGTTAAGTGTCTTGCCCAAAATCACGTAGAAATTAAGTGGCAAAGCAGGATTTAAACCAGGTTGTCTGATTTTATAGCTCTCTTAGTTACCATTTTAGCTTTTTAATTTAGTGACTAAAAAATGAAGAGAAATATTATGTATTTGTTTTGGCATTCTTTACTATTCTAGCTGTGTTAAAATAATTAAATCAATATTACCTTTTATAGAGTATCTTCAAAGGATTCAAAAATCAAATTCTCACACTACCACTGAGCAAGCACAAATATAGTTCAGTGTCAACCTTCCCACATTCTACTCTGAAATAATGTAGAGAGAAAAGCGGGGGGTAGGGGATACACATCTCCCAACTTGGCATTAGTCAGAGTCCTTTACCTGCAGAGGCACAACAGGAAAACATGGTGCTAACATCTTGACCACCCGTTTTTGTTGCAGGAGGCCGAGGGAAAGATGGTGCCCCAATCATCACTTTTCCAGAGTTTGTGGGGTTCAAACACATCTCAGATGAGGACTTTCTGAATGTCATGACCTACCTGACCAGTGTCCCCAGGTGAGCTGAACACAGCATTCTGCTGCCTCCTTAATCTCTGGCTTTATTCGGCATTTCCCTGTTGCAGGGCTGGGTTGAGATGGACTCTTCCCATGAGCACAGCTCACACTGCATGTAACTGAGCCAATTTCTCCTGTCCATCAGTCATAGGGGAGGGCTGTGGAATGAGACTAGGAAACAACGGTAAACAAGCATCAGTTCTGTTCATACAGTGCATGTAGGAGGTACTTAATAAACATTGTTGAGTGAATGAAATATGGATGGATCAGCTGAAGCTGTCTGTTCCTTCAGGCTCATTGCTCTAGATTAAGTTGACTCTGGCTTCCTGGGGCTGTTATCTGGGACACATGGCCATTGCTCAAGGAACTCAAGCCATGTTGGGAGTTATTTCATTTATGTCCCCTAAATAAGGAATTCACGAGCAGACTTTATAATTGTCATTGTCAGATGGAGAAACTGAGGGACACAGCAAGGAATAAAAACTGTGTTATAGCGGAGACCATGGCAGAGATGTTTTTGGGTATCTGCTACTTTCACCCTCTGCAGCCCACATCTCACATCCCCCCCTTTTTTTTTTGCTTAAACAACAGAAATTTATTCCCTCACTATTCTGGAAACTAGTAGTCCAAAATCAAAGTGTTAGCAAGATGGGTTTCTTCTGAGGACTGAGGGAAGAATCTGTCCCAGGCCTGTCTCCTTGGCTTGTGGATGGCTTCTACCTATCTCTCTTCATGTTACCCTCCCTCTTGGTGTGCCCATGTGTCCAAATTCCCCTTCTTATAAGGACCCACCCCAATGACCACTGTAAAGACCCTATCTCCAATAAGGTCACAATTTGAAGTACTGGAGGATAGGACCTCAACATATGAATTTTTAGGGAAACACAACAGGAATGTGGACCCTGGCCATTTTAGCTCAGTGGTTTGAGTGTCAGCCCATGGACCAATGAGTCGCGGATTCAATTCCGGTCAAGGGCATGTACCTCGGTTGAGGTTCATCCCCAGCCCTGGTCGGGTCATGCGGGAGGCATCCAGTCGATGTGGGTCTATCACATTGATATTTCTCTCTGTCTCTCTCTCTCCCTCCCTCCCACTCTATCTGATGATAAATAGAAAAATATCCTCGGGTGAGGAATAAAAACAAAAAAAAATAAAAGGAATGTGGCAGGTCTCACATCTTTATGACAGTTGAATGAATAAATACTCAGGTTTCCAAGGCATGGAGTGTGGGACAGAGTTCATATTGGTAACAATCATTTTACAGACAGAGATAGAGCTGAAAATTCTTAGACAGTGCTGTGTCTACTCTCCAGCAGAGCAGACTAGCCCGCCTTCCATGGGTTTGTATCGCTTATGAATATCATCTCTTACTTAACTGCTGTATGATTTGGAATTTACCCAACAGCTGTGTGTGTGTGTGTGTGTGTGTGTGTGTGTGGTTGTACTTGCTTTCCATCTGCCACCTATGATTTAGAACTGAATCTGGCACTTTGTGATTGGAAGGCTACCTGGAGATTAGGAAGTTGCTTAGTTTGCTTTAACCAAACCCACCGCAAAAGATTATATTTTGTTATTTACCTTTCTTAATTTTTTATTTTTATTTTTTATTTTTATTTTTTTATCCTCACCCGAGGACATTTCTCCATTTTTTGTTCAGGTAGAGTGGGAGGGAGAGAGAGGAACAGAGGAACAGAGAGAGAGAGAGAGAGAGAAACATCGATGTGAAAGGAACACATCGAGTGGCTGCCACCCGCACAACCGACCAGGGCTGGGGACAAACGGCAACTGAGGTACGCGCCCTTAGTGGAAACCAAACCCGGGTCTCTCAGAACCGCAGGCCGACACTCTAACCGCTGAGCCAAACCGGCCAGGGCACCTTTCTTAATTTTTTAAACTTATCTTTATTGTTGAATGTATTACAGATGTCTCCTCTTTTATTCCCCATTGACCCCCCCTCTTCCCCAATCCCTCCCCCTTACTGCCTTCCCCACACTGTTGTCTGTGGTCATTGGTTATGCATATAGGCGTAGAAGTTCTTTGGTTTATCTCATCCTGCCCTCCCTCCCCCTTTCCCTTTGAGGTTCATCAGTCTTAACAACCAATTTGTACTTCTTAATTACTTCATGTTGTTCACCCCCCGCCAGCCCCCTCCCATCTGGCAAGCAACAAAAAGTTCTCTGTATCGATGAGTCTGTTTCTGTTCTGCTTGCTCATTTTGTTTGTAGATTTACCCTTCTTACTTTTTGAGAGAAGGCTATGGGTTCATTTTTAATGCACTTGCTCAAAGTTCATTACTTAAAGTCTGTTTCGCTATTTCCCTGCCTCTCCTCTTCCCATCCCCGAATATACTGTGCATTAGGGTACTGGGCTTGGCTCATGCTGTTCTCTCTGCGGGAACATCGGTCCTACTCTTTGGGGCCCGGCTAACTTCTAGTCATTCATCAGCCCTCAGTCTGATGTAATTTCTTCAAGGAAACATTTCCCGACCCCAGTCCTGCTCTCTCAGACTCTTTATTTCCACAGAACCCAAAGCTGACTCCTTATAAACACCATAGTAGATGGAAATGATTTCTGCCTCTTCCATTAGACTATGAACTACTCAAGACAAGGGACCAGTGCTTCCTTTCTCTTTTTTTAAATCTGTAGCTCTAGCACAGTGCCCAGCACATAGTAGGTTCTCAAGAAGTAATGGTCAAACTTCTAGTTCTGATATGATTTATTTCAACCTAGAGGTATTTTTATAGGGTGAGAAGGGGGACACTGACAGAGAGAGGAGAACCCCATTCCTCACTCCTGCATTGATCTCCTGGGTTACAGACAGTTGAACTTGGTCTCTCTCCTTGACTCGGTTGCATCTGAAACTGTCACCCATCAGCTTAGCACCTTCTGTGGGGAGCAGCAAGGAAGACAGCGAGCAGGGAGGCGGGCAACAGGTGGACGTGCTCCCCCTGCCATTCTATTTGTTTCAGCATCACTGTCTACTTTTGTTGAATCCCTGGATGCAATAAATTCACGTGCTAAGTGAAATGGGTGCCTTTCATTGTGTACTTGCAGCCTTTTTGGAGTCACACTGAGGACCGGACACTGAATGCCATCTGAACCAGGGTAAAGATGAGCATCAAGGAGTAGAAACTCTTATCTCACAGATGTAGAAGATAAGACAGAACAAGGGGCTACTATTTGTGCCTGATTTCTTTTTTCTGCTCTATGTTCCTTATATCATTGCTGGTAAACTTGGGAGTATTTTTCTTTCCTTGAATGCTATTTGTTTTTTGAGAAAAAGTGCCTGCTTAACCAGTTAGTCCCCTTTCTTTTTTCTAGCATTTTCTCATACCCTCTGGCTGCCCCTCCCATTGGTTTCAACATAAAACAGAGACAAAAGCAAGGCCTGAAAGAGGAATTTGCCCTTATTGTCCAGTTTCTATTTATCAAAATTCACATCCTCCTAAATGTTAGAGTGGTTACCAGGCACCAGATCCCTTCCCAGGTTGCAAAATGTTTACGGGCAGTTAGCAGAGGGTTCATGACATAGAAAGAACCAGGAAGAATTGATGCAGTAGAAGAGGAGCATGACAGGATACTCGAGACAGGGAAATGATACTCATATAATACTCAGATCTATTGTTTTCCTCGTCTCTATCTTATTCATTTCTGCCTTTATCTTTAATGTCTTCTTTCTTGTGAGTTCATTTGGTTTGCTTTACTTTTTGTCATTTTTTTTAGTTGAAAATTATACTTCCTTTTATTTTATTGATGTAAATGTTTAAGGTTATGAATTTCCTCTGATCCCTGCTCTAAATGGATTCCATAAATTCTGATATGTGGTCCTTTTATTATCACTGTATTGTAGAAATTTTGCCGTTTTGTCTTATATTTCTTCCTTTACTGAAGAGTTGTTTAATAGGTTTTTTTATTTTCAGGTGTTTTCTTTGTGGCCTCGTATCAGGATAAATTTTTGTGGGTGTTCCATATGTGCTTGAGAAGAAGACGGCTCCTCTATTATCAGGATGTGAATTTCAGCACATACCTATTAGGTCTTCCTTGTTATGCTATTGTTTAGGTCTTTTATCACCTTATGGGTGTGTTGTCTGTTTACTCTGTCTTATACTGAAAGTGGTGTATTAAAGTCTCCTATATAAAGTATATTTCTGGCCCTGGCCAGTTTGTCTCAGTGGTTAGAGCACTGGTCCATGGACCAGAGTCCTGGATTCAGTTCCCACTAAGAGCATGTACTTTGGTTGCAGTTTGTCCCCGGCCCAGGTTGGGGTCGTGTGGGTGGCAACCAGTTAATGTGTCTCTCTCTCATAGATGTTTCTCTCTCTGTCTCTTCCTCCCCCTCTCCCTCCTGCTCTATCTGAAGATAAATGTAAAAATGTCCTTGGGTAAGGATAAAAATAGAGAAAGAGAGAAAGAAAAAAAACGAAGGAAAAAGGGAGGGAGGGAGGGAGGAAGGAAGGAAGGAAGGAAGGAAGGAAGGAAGGAAGGAAGGAAGGAAGGAAAAGAAAATTTCTGTTTCCTTGTATCTCCTTTAGTTTGTGCTTTAAAAAGTTGGTTATGTTATTTGGAGCATAGATATTTATAACTACCATGTTTTCATTGTGAATTGTGACTTTTAGCATTAAAAAAGTGTTCCTTGTTATGTTTAATGCTTTATGACTTGAATTTTACTGTGTCTGATAGCAGACTGACCATCACCCTTGTTATTGTTTCCATGTGGTTAGTATACTTTTGCTAATTACTTTATTTTTAGTCTTTCTGAATCACTTTGTTCTAGATTTTTCTCTTGTATACAGTATATAGTTTTTTCTTACTTTGTGAGTCAAATTGAAAATCTTTTTCTTACATTAGGTGAATTAAGCCCATTCATATTTATTGATATGACTGATATATCTGGTCACAGTTGGTCATTATTTTGTTGTAACAAATAGATGTATTATATTTACCCTATTTCTCTACATGATAGGTTTTCTTTGCACTTTTTTGTTTTTGATTTATTTTGGT